AACATTCCACGAGACACCCCACGAAACATTCCACGACGACAGGCAACCACTCAACCAAGGCGGTGTGGTCGTGCTGGGGAGTGGTCGTGCTGGGGTGTGGTCGTGCTGGGGGGTGGTCGTGCTGGGGTGTGGTCGTGCTGGGGGGTGGTCGTGCTGGGGGGTGGTTGTGCTGGGGCGTGGTCGTGCTGGGGCGTGGTCGTGCTGGGGCGTGGTCGTGCTGGGGTGTGGTCGTGCTGTGGTGAGGTCGTGCTGGGGTGTGGTCGTGCTGGGGTGTGGTCTTGCTAGGGTGTGGTCGTGCTGGGGTAGGGTCGTGCTGGGGCGTGGTCGTGCTGGGGCGTGGTCGTGCTGGGGCGTGGTCGTGCTGGGGTGTGGTCGTGCTGTGGTGAGGTCGTGCTGGGGTGTGGTCGTGCTGGGGTGGTCTTGCTGGGGTGGGTCGTGCTGGGGTGGGTCGTGCTGGGGTGTGGTCGTGCTGGGGTGTGGTCGTGCTGGGGTGGGGTCGTGCTGGGGTGGGGTCGTGCTGGGGTGTGGTCGTGCTGGGGTGGTCCGCACCTGTGATTCATCGATCGGGTCGTGCTGGGGTGTGGTCGTGGTGGGGTGTGATCGTGGTGGGGTGTGGTCGTGTTGGGGTGTGGTCGTGCTGGGGTGTGGTCGTGCTGGGGTGTGGTCGTGCTGGGGTGTGGTCGTGCTGGGCGTGGTCGTGCTGGGGTGTGGTCATGCTGGGGGTGTGGTCGTGCTGAGGTGTCCCGCACCCTGTGATTTATCGATCGGGATTTCAAAAACAAGCGTTTCGCTCGAGACATCCTCAAATTTTAATTCGCCGGCCTCCTTCGACCTCGTTATTTATCAGGGAAAAAATTCGCCGGCCTCCCTCAAGTTGGCACCGGGGGACAGGTTTACCTACTAAAAGAGAACCCTGGGCCTATGCCCTTTCCGGGAAAAAATCCCATCACCTGGACGACATAGTACCTGTACGGATCACCTCAAAATCGCACCATTCCGACCAGAGGCAATCAGGTGGAGAAAAACAAGAAAGCGAACCAGCCACCCGGATACGCCAACCGCTGGCACACGAGCTGAAATGCAGCTGAAGCCAGCGTGATGCGACCTGCAGCCCCAGGAGCGATGCAAACCCCAGCTGCAGTGCAGACGCAAATTTAAGGAGGCCGCGGCCATGCCAGCCAGCAGCCAGGCCAAGGCGCAAGCAGCAAGGCTGTAAAGCCACCGCTAGACAAGCTGCCGCCCGAAAAATGCACCGACCAGAAGCGGTGTCTGTGGAAATTACCACGCACACCCCTGGGAGCGCAAGAACGCCAGTGCCCCAGGCACCACGATAGGTGCAAGGCACCGCCAGGCCGCGCCCCCGAGACACCCTGGAAGGACAACAGGCGAGGCGACCAGAAGGTCACCGCTTAAGGCGGTAAGGCAGTTAAGTTGCTGACCAACAGCGGGCAGGATCGCGCAAAAAAAGGCAGCGGCGAGCTACCCCAAATCGAGGCCTGGGGAACACGACAAAAAGAGAAGTGGCCGTGGCCGAGCCGGCCCATGGCCCGCACCGGGGCGCAGGCAGCAAGTCGGTAAGGCCGCCGCCAGTCCGATGGACCGACGGAAAAATGGTGCTACAACACATGCGTGGAGCGCAAGAACCCAAAAATAGGACAAAGACATGGGTGGTGTAGGCAGGGTAAGACACGGCCGAGTTCCAGGAAGACGGCCCCCAGGTACGGGCCAGCCTTCACCAGAGGCCCTTACGCCTGAGGCGACGAGAGACAAAAGCGACAAATCCCGCCAACCGTTTCGAGGGATAAGCCACGAGGCAGCCGGAGGCCACGGCAAGAAAGCCCACAGCACCGGCGGTCGCCGCGCGGAGTGCACACACACACACACACACACACACACGCACACACACACGCACACACCGTCCATCGGCTACACGCAAGAGTGACCCTGGGCAGGAGTGACCTTTGGTGCGCGGCTTCAGAGGGAGCGCGTAGGAGCGGGGGCGGGGGGGCGGGGGGCCACGCCCGAGCGCCCAGGCCGCAGCTGTCGCA